GGTCCTGGAGAGCCACTCGGGGTTTCCCATGCTCAGATCATATAATAATAATACGAAAACAAGCTTGTCCTTCTTTCCCTGTTGCCATGTGTACGTGTGTGGAACAAGCAACAGCTTCAGGGTAGTCCGCGATGCTCTGAAGCCCTCATCTCCCACTGACACAGTCACAGTTTTAAACAAACGTCAGTTTTGATCTGGAATGTTCTTGATGAAGAAGCACGAGCCACTCATCTTAGTACCTTCAGGCACCTGAATGAATCCCTTTTAACATTCTGTGTTATAAACTGGGAAGGGTGGGGCCTGGAGAGATGGTACAGCGGTTAAGAGTACAGGGTGCTCTTGCAGAGGACCCGGGTTCAGTTCCCAGCACCCACATGGTGGCTCACAGTCCTCAGTAACTCCAGATCCAGAGGATTCGATGCCCTCTTCTGACCTTCAAGGGCACTGTATGACACTTACAGATATGTGTAAGAGTGCACCTTCCTGACCACAGCTACACCATGTTAAAGTTTAGGCTGACTCTAGTTTCTGAACTTATCAGGCTGTTGGCCCACGGTATGAGAATGCCAACTGGACCCTGGTTGTCTTGGCAACAGGTCAGAGTGTCCTAGAGTGCTCCTGCTAACTGCTGATTTATGGCTTCTGTAGGTTATGCTTGGCTTGCTTCTGCAAAATAGTAATTGTTGCTAACAAACCCCTTTCTGGTTGGAAGACTTAGGGAAATTTTTGTTTCTAGTATACAATTGCTACACAACAAAATCCCCTTCGAGGGAACTTTGTGACCAGTAAAGGCAAGGTAAATAGTAAGATTGATAATGTCTGTTTATCAATGAGGAGGAAGGTATGCAGATGTACTATGGTTCGGGTCAGAGGTTTGGATGGAAAATTGTATTTTCTTATGTATTTCCTTGATAATGTCTGTTCAAGCTTAAAGCTCAGTGATTAGCTTCTGTATTCTGCTTGCTTGCCAGCAACATGATCAATATAAAAGGAGCCAGAGTGCTTAGGCTCGGTGCTACTCTCAGACTCTTTAGGAAAGAGTGTAGCCCAAACGTAATAAATCTATCTTCCTTCTCCAGACTCACCTGTCTGTTTGTCTGTTTGGGGCATTTGCAGATCACAGACTATAATATATGCAGGCAATACAGTCATTAAATAAATAAATAAATAAATAAATAAATAAATAAATAAATAAATATCAGTATGTATGTCTCAAAGAGAAAACTGCCTTAGAATAAAATATCTATGAGTTGATGCAAATCGTAGGCAATAATAACTCCTTTTCTTCATATGTAAAAAAAAAGACAAACTACTGGTATTCAGATTGAGGATGGGCTGACATTTACTCTCAAATATAAGGTAGTCTCTTCAAGGAAATCACCTGATGGCATTATTTCTAATTGTGAGGGGGCACCCACGTGCCACAGCTCATGTGTCGAGGACAGAGGACAACATCGGTCCCTGACATCCACCTTAAGACAGGGTATGATGGCTGCCTTTGATTGTTCACCTGTCACAATGGAGAATCACCTAGGAAGAGCTTCGGGGAAGAACTGCGTCTTTTCAGTGGCCAGCCGGCATGTTCCTTGATAATGTCTGTTCCTAATTCGGTTAACTGAGGTGGGAAGACACACCCTGAATGTGGGCTTTGGGTCTGGGCTCTGTAAGAGCAGAGAAAGTAAGAGGAGCACTATCACGAATGGACTTATTTCCCTCTGCTCTTGACTGAATATGATGTGACCAGCTGTTCTAAGTTCCCACCTTGATGCGACCACAGTGACAGACTGTAACATGGAATTATAAGCCAACATCAACCCTTTCTGTGCTATGTTGCCTTCTGTCATCACGGCAACAGAAACAAAATTAGGACACTGGTCTCCTGTTGCTTGACATTGCGTATACCAGGCTAGCCCCCAAGCTGTCAGGGATTTTCCTGCCCCTGCCTCCCATCTCACCACAGGAACACTGCAGCACCTGAGTTTTTATGTGGGTTCTGGGGATCCAAACTCAGAGCCTCATGCTTGACAGCAAGCCCTGTACCCACCAACCCATCTCCATGGACTGGTTTGTTTTGTTTTGCTATTTTCCCTATAGTAAAATTATACATTTCTGGGGAAAAAAAATTAAACTTTGGAAAACTTTAAATTGCCACTGGGTCCTAAAGTTGGGGGATTTTTTTGGGGGGGGGTCTTTTTGAGACAGGGTCTCCCTGTAGCCCCAGCTGGCCTAGAACACTCCATATAGACAAGGCTGGCCTTGAACTCACAGATATCCACCTGCCTTTGCCTCCCAAGTGTTGGGATTAAAGGAACGCACCACCACCCAGCTTAAAAATTTTTTTTAAAAGGATTAGTGGTCCTAGTTAACAAATTTATTTATTTATTTATTTATTTACTTATTGCTACTGGTACTTGGAAGCTGTGTACAATCCAGTGAACCAATGTTTTCTAAGTGACCAAAGCACAAAACCCCGTGTGGGGAAGTCCCAAAGGACAAGATCAGCCAAACGGACTTCAATGCAACATAATACAAGAACACTCATGGCCTGGTTTCAGAGGGTGCATTGCAGCTGATCTTTAAGAGCCCACGGGGGAGTGGGTGCTGGTGGGGTAGCAAGAACACCACTCCCAGTCACAGGAAACACTACGAGCGAGTCCTGCTGACTGTACCCTGTAGAGGACTGGGTTCTTGTTACACAGTTCAGTCAAAACAAATACAACAGATATGATGCAGAGGGAGATGGGAAGATCAGGTCTTCTCTTAATCAGACACTACAGAGACCTGTACGGAGGTCATCTGATGCCAGCCATCCGGCTCATTTACTTGGGGGGAGATAGTCATTTTTCAAAAACCGGTATCTATGATAACATATAGGTTTCTTGGTTTTTTGGGTTTTTTTTTTAAATACTTGTGGTGCTGGGATTGAACCCAGGGCCCCTTACATGTCAGGTAAAGGTTCTACCACTAATGCTACACTTGATCTCAGTCAAAAGCAAAAGGCTAAGATGAACAAATCTTCCCTTCTATCCACCCGTTCTATCTACTCATGGCCTCCTTCCTCCTCCCTCTCCTTTGTCTCCTCTCTCCTCTCTCCTCTCTCTCTCTCTCTCTCTCTCTCTCTCTCTCTCTCTCTCTCTCCTGTCTTCTCTTCCTTCTTTCACTCCTTTCTCCTCTCTCTCTCTCATCTTTCCTTCTTGAAACTGGATCCCACTCTTTAACCAAGGGTGGCTTGGAACTCACTATTGAGCCCAGGCTGGGTTTGAACTCACGGAAATTCTCCTGCTTCGGCCTCTGGAGTTTGGGGATTACAAGCATCAGCCACCATGTCTGACTGAAATATTTCTGAATTTTAAATTGTAATACACTTACCTCCAACATAGGGCCTATGTAACAATCAACCGATCATTTCTAAAATTATAATAAAGGGATCCTAGGGACAAAACCATTGATCCCTGACTCTGTAGGCCTAAGAGAGTCTATCTCATTCCACAGGCAACATTCCTATTTTATTGGAAAATACTTATAAATAAAACATTTTCCCTTTCCTTTCTCAGATCACTTTTTTATGAGCCACACAGCAATCATCTTGCCTAAATTTGAGAGTAAAACTCCCTCCCTTCATGAGGAGGAGGGGGACAGCTCTAAACAGCAGGAAACAGCTGATCCCTCAACAGAAGCAAATCCAGCCTAGGAACAAGAAGCTGAGCTCACCAACCTCAGACCCTGCAGAGTCTCCACGCCCCAGACCCCGGCAAAGGGGAGGTGTGTCTGCCCAGCACATGCATTCCTTGTCTGTCATTCAGCTGGCTAAGACTTCTCAGGAGGCTTTGTGGGTATCTAGCACTTCCTGCCCTGCAGGGGGAGGACACATCTCAGTGGTGTCCTTCGGGAGGAGAGGCTGGTGCCAGGAAGCAGTAGCACCTCTTCTCAGCAACAACCAAATGTCCACATGGTGCCACACACACAGCTCGATCCCCAGATTTCTCTTAATTCTGGAGAGAAAAGACCTAATGTGCCGGGGTTCACCAGAATGCACCTGCCATGTGCTCACCCACAACAGACAGCAGCTTATGGAGGGGGAGTGGGCAGTGGGCCAGGATATTCTGAGGGAACCAAGGCGTGTGGCCTGCTAGACACCGAAACTTTTTCACAGATCTGCTCTCTCAGACAGAAAGAGGCACATTTAAGATTGTTCTCTGGGTCCCAGATCACGTGAGCCATCAGCCTGAAGACATTCAAGTTAGGAGAGGAAAGATTCAGAAAGCGTCTCTCAATAACCTGCAACAGGTTTATTATCAATATCACTGACAAAAAGATTTTCACCAATATATGTGCATACACACCATATACCACACACACACACACACACTCACACACACACACACACACACACACAAAGTGACTCCCCAGTCATCCTGAACAAGAGTTCTTAGAAATGAAACATTAACGTTCATCATAGAAATAATGTAAGAAGTAATAATTTGGTCCAATAGCATTATATTTTATAAACAGAGTAAATCTAATGGAATTTTAAATTTTATTTTTTATCATTTTTAATATTTGTATGTGTGTGTTTCTGGGTGTGAATATGTGTGTTTGTGCAGAAGATTGTGAGCTGCCCAGCATGGGTGGTGGGAACTGAACCCAGGCCCTCTACAAGAGCAGCAAGTGCTCTTGGCTGCTGAGCCATCTCTCCAGCCCCTAAATGGACTTTCATGAGCTACTATAAGATCCTAAGAATTATATTATCCCTACAGTAAATTTCAGGTCATTTTGTCAATATAAACTATAAACTCAGGCACAGACACGCATCTCTACAAGCTGCCCATGGTAACAAGCAGATTCGAAACTGTCCCCTGCAAGGCAAAGCAGAACTCTTAAAGATTCCTGCTTCCCCCATCAAAGGATTCTCCGGAAGTCACGCATGTCCCACGTGGTAACAGAGAGCCACAGCTGGGGACAGGCACAGGATGAAGGAAGGAGAGGAAGGCTGGGCTCACCTGTGCTCCAGATGACTGAAGTCCTGTAAGTTCAGTTCCCTGGTGTCTTGTGTCAGATAAATTGTATCCACATCCTATTTGAAGCAGAATTCATTCAGAAAATTAATTCCTGGACATAAACGGAGAAGCTATGCCACACAAACGCAGAGAAGTGGGTAAGGACACAGGCAGAGTTCTGAGTAATCTGAGCAAGGACGATTTAAACAAAATAACGGAGAAAGGGGAGACAAGGAGAGGGGAAAGAGAATTCTTACTGGCTGTGTGTGTACACAGACTCACACGTCCCCGCTGGCACACGTACACGCATGTACACAGACTCTTACTTACCCACTGTACTTCTTCCCTGTATGAAAAGCCCAGCCAGTCACACATGCACGCATACATGTGAGAGAACCCACCTGAAACATGAAGCAGAAATGTGGTGTTGACAGGCCCTCAGCAAAATGGCCGTGAAAGCACAATTTTAAAGCTTAAGTCTGGCTGCTGTTGGCAATCTGATTATCTTTCCCATTTAGAGCAGCAGCAAGGGTTCTCCCCCATCCGCAGTGCACGCACAGCGAGCTGCAAATGAGCTTGAATTTAGGACTTCTGTCCACCAGTGCAAAGTCTGAGCAAGCTAATTACACCTTGAAACTAATTGTACCTCTGCAATAGCACACCAGGAATAGACTCTGCTTCCTGGCAGGGGGACGGGCACCCCACCCCTACATTTTAGGCCTTAAAATGCATGCTTACCACAAGGGCCAGGCTCAGGCACGGTCTGGCTATCCCACAGGGCCTGAAGGCTGGCCAGACGCTCAGATGGTTCCACGGAAACTTTCTTCATGACTCTCCTGAAAGGTTAGCACAGAAAATAGATTTCAAAAATCAAGATTTTGCAACAATACATAGATTTTTATTTTCTACTATGCTCTTTTTTATTCTTTAAATCAGAGGTGGGTGTTATTCCAATTCTGGTCAAAATAATTCCATTGCTTGGCACCAGGGAGATGGAGATACAGAGGAACCTAATGGCAACACCGCCACCTCCTTCTGCAGATACAGGGATAAAAATGCAATTCATTTTCACAGTTTAGTTGTTTTCTAGTGTGAAATTTTAGTTACGATAGTTAGGAAACAGTGTTCTAGGGCTGCAGCTCAGCTGGTGGAATGCATCCCTAGCGTACATCGGCCCTGGATTCCATCCCTAGCACCACATAAGCCAGAAAAGGTGGTGTACACCTATAATCCCAAATTTGTGAAGTGGAGAGGTGGAGGCCTGAGAATCAGAAGTTCAACCTTATCCTGGGCTACATGAGACCCTACCATAAAAAGAACCCCCCCCCACACACAGAGTTTTATTTAATGAATTATTATATTATGTCTCTACTAAACACATATTGTGAGCCTTAAAGAATTAAAATACAGCCGGTCGTGGTGGCGCACGCCTGTAGTCCCAGCACTTGGGAGGCAGAGGCAGGCGGATCTCTGTGAGTTCAAGGCCAGCCTGGTCTACATAGTGAGTTCCAGGATAGCTAGGGCTACAGGGAGACCCTGTCTCAAAAAAGAAAAAAAAGAATTAAAATACAAATCTCCTCTAAGTCCATCCACAGAGCCCTGTGCAAGTGTCCATCAATAGACTCACATTTGCTGAAATATCAGCTCCCTGCCTCTGTACACTGCACTGTGGGTCTTCAGGGGCCATGTCTGGATCCCACTCGTCCCAACTCATCTTCCTCAGAACCTAACAAAGCTCCTGCTGACTTTATGTAGAGGAGAAAACTGCAGCCTGGAGGCTAGAGAGACGATTCTGCAGTTAACAGCATCCCCTGCTCCTGCAGACCCTAGTTCAGCTCCCAGCACCCACATCAGGCAGCTCACAACTGCCTATGATTCCAGAGGACCCAACACCCTCTTCTGACGTCCTCAGGCGCTGTACCCACACTTAGACACCACACACACACACACACACACACACACACACAAACACACACAGCCTGCCTCTCCAGTCTCATTATTCATGGTATAGAAGTAACAAGGTAAGGAAAGCCGTCTCACAGAGGAGACCAGAAATAAGCACACATTGTGAGAACAACTGCTACATGGTAGACTCTCAAAAAATATTAGCTGATGGTGTTAACCTTATTATGTCATCATTTAATGAGTAACTTCTGAACTTATGACTTGACCCAGATTTGCTAAAGGCCTACCACATATTGGGAAGTTCCAGGTACTAGGCTGTGAACAAAATCCATGTTCACTGTTATGGTCTAAATAAGCAATGCCCCCATAGGCTCATGCATTTGAACATGTGGCTGCAAGGTCACGGCACTGTTTGGAAAGGTTGTGGACTCTTTAGGACGCACAGCCTTGCTAAAGGAAATATGTCTTTGAGAGGTTACGTCCTCTTCCACGTCACTGGGGGTGGGCTTTGAGAGGTTATAACCTCGTCCCACTTCAAGTTTGTTCTCTCCAATTCCTGTGTGAGCTTGAGATATGTCCGTCCCACCTTCCTCCGCCAGCCGCCATCTGGCCATGCACTCCCTCACCCCCGCCCCTTGCCCCACCCCACAGCTCCCATTTTGAACTCAAGCTCTGGAATCTTAAACCAAAATAAACTCCTCGTCTACAAGTTGTTTTTTTTTTTAAATCACAGTAACAGAAAAGTAACTAATACATTCACAAAGGTAGAAATCTATTAAAAGAAACTGACAGCCTGGGCATGGTGGGGCACACCTGGATCTCAGCACTTGGGAGACTGTGGCAGGAGGATTGTTGCAAGTGGCTCAGTAGGGCTGAGCCAGAGAGAAAGCACCAGGGCCCAGCAGAGCTACAGAGAAGCTCAGTGAGAGAGCTGGGAGGGTGGGGAACACTTACTAAAGTAGGTTAGAGTTAATACAAAGTGTGGAGTGGATGGACGAATGGTGCTGTTCCTCTTCTGGCAGGGTTGTTCACTGCAGACTGAGAAAACCATGCTTGGAATGCCTGGGGCTGCATTCAAGCAACGTTTGTTCAAAAGGCTTCAGATTTCAGAGCATTTCAGATGTAGAATTTTGCAGTTAGGAATGCTCAACCTAGACATGTACACAAAGACTTGAAGGGCATGAAGGGCTCATTAGGTATAGATGGGTAAGAGGTGGAAGTCTGGAGCCAGCAAATCTGTGGATACAATGAAGTTCGGACTCACCAGACACTCAGTGTAGTTCAAACAGTCAACAGAAAGTGTGGGAAAGGGAGAGGCCCCAGAGGGTCAGGGCTAAGCAGGGCCCTGGCCATGCATGGGGAGTCTCATCAGTTAAACTAAGGAACTAAGGCTCCAGATTTCACTGTCAGGACAATGAGGTACCATGGAAGACCACAAAGAGGAGAAGATGTGAGCGGACAATCCTGGACACGCTCAGCTGCACGATGGTGGGCAAGTGCCCCAAGAAATAGGGAAGATGTCCCCAGGACTGGAAGGAGCCCCTGCAGAGAGAGAAAATCACGGATGCTTGAAGGCGGTAAGCTGAACAGCTGATGCTTGAAGGCGGTAAGCTGAACAACTGAGGGGTTTCTCCTGAAACCTTCAAGGGCTCCAACGTGTATGGAGAAAGGACACTCTGCTGGGTACAGACTGAGGGGCTTCCAGGCAGGCATGCCAGAGAAACACTGGGGACAGAAGGAGTAGAGGACACAGACAAGGCCTCGAGAAGAGATGGGCACCATGGGCCTGGGGGTTACGGTTAGTGGGAGATGGAAGGGGATGGAGAAAGAGCCAAAATATGTACAACCAAATCCAAGGCCAGGAGCAGTGGAATCCCAGCATTTGGGAGGTGAAGCCAGGGGGGCTGGGAGTTCTGAGGCACCATCTACTATGTAGTGAATTTGGGGCCAGCTTGGGTTACATAGAAGCCCATCTCTTTTTAAAAATTTTTTAAAAGTATTTTGTTATTTTTATTTTATGTGTATGAGTACACTGCCTGCATGTATGCAAGTGCACCTGTGTTGTGCAATGTCCATGGAGGTCAGAAGAGGGTGCTGGAATCCCCCTGGAACTAGAGTTGCAGATGGTTGTTAGCCATCATGTGGGTGCTGAGAATTGAACCCAGGTTCTCTGTAAGAGCAGTCACTGCTCTTAACCACTGAGCCATCTCTCCAGTCCATTATGCAGTACCTTTAATAAAATGTGCACAGAAGAAAGTTCATGTTAAGGTGGGGCTGGAAAGATGACTCAGAGAGTAAGAGCACTTCCTGCCCAAGTCTGAGGACCTGAGTTCAAATTCCCAGCACCCATGAATAACCTGGACGTGGTCTCCGTGTGTCTATAACCGCCTCACTGTGGTTGGGTAGATTCAGGAGGGTTGCTGAGGCTTGCTGGTCTCTAACCTAGCTCTTGGTTTAGTGAGAGACCCTGACTCAAAAGAAGAAAAGTAGAGCGTGATGGACCAGGACACTCCAAGCCCTCCTCTGGCCTCTGAGAGTACATGCACAGGAACACATGTGTGCACACACCACACACATACATACACCTCAGCTGCACACACAGTTCAAGATACAGATCTTTTTCAATTTATAACATCAAGTTGGCATCTCCAAAGTTTGGAGTTTTAAATTTTCAGATTACGAGTGCTCAACCTATGTCTTATTGAACATAGTTTAGTGTCTTCAGTGGAGTTTGCTGTTGTTTGGGTTTGGTCTGGGCTTTCTGAGGCAGAATCTCTGTAGTCCAGGGTGGCTTTGAACTCTCTATCCTCCCGCCTCAGCTTCCCCGGTGCCTACAATTAAGCACCATCATACTCACAGCTTGCTAGGTATTTTTTATGTTTGTGTGTGTGTCTGTGTGGAGAGAGAGAGAGAGAGAGAGAGAGAGAGAGAGAGAGGTCACAAAGCACTTGTGAGGTCAGGGGACACCTTTTGAGCATTCTCTCTCTCCTTTCACTATGTGGGTTTCGGGGATCAAACTCAAGTCATGAGGCTTGGCAGCAAGCCCCTTTACCCACTGAGCCACCTCGCCAGCCCTCTTCCGGGATTTGAGGGGAATTCTGCTCATGCTCTCAGACATCCTTCAAACACTTCAACCACCTTCCACACACACAGAACCATCAGGTTACTTTCATATTCTGATGGACGAATTCCAGATAAAATGCTCTGGAACCTGACGTGCCACCGGGCGAATCTGTTCTACTCCCGCAGACAATCCAAACACGTAGCAAACATTCAACACACGCCGACGGCTGGCACTGAAAACAGCCCTCCCACCTCTTTGCCACACTTAGAACAGAGGCAAAACCAGGCATATTCAATGCCTTCCAAGGCCTTTCAATCCTCCCACCTCTACAGAAACATACAAGATCTACAGACATAGCACATTTTTTCTTTTTTTTTCCATCTTTTGGAGACAGGGTCTCCATGTTAGCCCCAGCTAGCCTGGAACTCACTATATAGACCAGGCTGGCTTCAAACTCACAGAGATTCCTCTGCCTCCCAAGTGCTGGGAAAGACATGCACCACCCCACACCTGGCCAGCATTTTCTTTTCCCTTTACTACACCTGAAAACACTTATAATTGTCCCTGGGGTCTTTAATTTGGGGATGCCAGCGTTAAAAAAGACATTCACAACTAAACCAGAATCCAGCCACTTGGAATGGTTCACTTGGATCCGAATCCATCATTCCAGAGATCAGCCACATTATTTGCTGGCTACTTTGAAGCTGGAAAGCAGGTGTCACCAGGAAATAGGGACTCTGGCAGCCGCTCAGGCACCTCTGTGGCTGAATTACGCACACTTTTGACACCAAGCAGGGCTTTTGTCTGACTTTATCTAAGATCACATTTCTCTTTACAAGTTCTTGCTTTGTCTCCCAGAACTGCAGG